GCGTTGACCTTGGTTGGACTGTTCTGTGAGCGCGTCAAGTTGCGGACCAAGTGCGGAGCTGTCAGAGAGCTGTGCATGAACAGCTTCTGGAAGGTGACGAATGCGCCTACCACTCCAGGTTTCTCGTAGCCGGCCTTGATTGCGGTTCATGCGTCCAGGGCCAAGAACTTGTCATCGACGAGATGACGAAGGTTCTGCGCGACGTAGAGTTAGATGATGCCCAGCGCCTTGTCATTTTTCTCATCCCATGCAGCTTGAGCTGCAATTTCCGTAGCCGTGGGTGTACCTGTTGCAGCTATTGGTCTGGCAAGACCAGGGACTGGTACGGTCGCTGTGAAACCGTATCCCTGGACCAAGTACCAGACGCCCTGGTAACGCAGGAAGGCTCGGATTGCGTCGGACCACTTTTTATAGTTGGTTCCGTCGAATTGCGGAATGGTCTGGGTAGTGAGCTTGGTCGGGTCAGAAGAGGATGACATTGTTATCGTGTACAAAGAGGAGGCGAGTGTATGTGTAGAGTGTTTCACGTTCCTTTGAAGTTGACCCGACGTCGTAAAAGAATTCACTGAGATCGAGCTCGTATGATTCGGCTCGTGTCGCTCGAAGTGATTCCCAATCTTCTTCCAAGAATTTGAGGTTGTAGACTGGATTGATCGGTTTGTAGTATAGATCAACCTCGATGTTATCCTGTGTGAGATAACAGGCGTAGGGTTCCGAATATGTATTGGAGGTTGTTGGAAAGAAGATATAGATTATGTCGTCATCTGGGTTGACTAACTTAGCAGATGCTTCATATGTCGGTGGACCGTGCGTATCTTCTATGTAATTGAAGTATTGTGGGGTGAAGAGAACTTCGATGTATTTCTCGTAATCTGTCAATGATTCCCACGGTGTGTCATCTTCTTGGATATTCAGTTGCTGTCTGAATTCCGCGACGGTTTCCTGTTTTGTCTCTACAGTTTCAGGTACTGTATTTGTCTCCTGAGAGGTAGTGATTGTGAACGCTGTTGAGCGAACCACTTATCCCAGCTAAGCTGATTTAGCCGAGAGGTGGATAGAGTTGGGATTGGACGAAAGAACCAGTTAAACTACGACGCTTGTTGTCGCTTAGGAATAAACACACAGTAGTCAAGTTTCCAAGTAGAACTTTTTTGTGATTGTTACAATAGCATTTGTATACAAAGTATCTACTTGTTCTCGTAAAACCTAACCACGTCAAAATATCCGTTCACGTAAACTGCACTGAGCGCTTGTACAATCCGGGCTTTGTTCTTGCGTAGCCCTTTGAACAAGATATCCCCTATTTCTTTGCACCCTAATTCCCACTTGCGCCACTCCTCATATTTGACGATGTTACAGAAGTCCGCTAGGCAGTGCTTGATGCGCGTAAGCTGTTCGATGAGTCGGCGGAGATTGCGGACTTGGTCGGAGTTGAGATCGTCAAGCTCGAGAGTCTCGAAGACGTCGAGGTGTTTGAGCATGCCATCGAACTTTGGTGTGAAGATGCAGACAAGGTCGGTGGGAGTGTGCTTGTTGAAGTCGATGAGTATCGGCTTCGGGGCGATCGGTGTATGTGTCGCCGGTGGGATGGCAGCTAGACGCTGCTCAAATGTCGGCTTTGACGGACCAGCAAGGATCCATTCACGCGCCTGTTGAATTTCACGTGCAGCTAGACGCTGCTCAAAGTCAGCCTTGTTGATCGCGTAGCGCTCGCAGAACTGTTCGCGACGTAGGCGCCTGCCCTCGTGTGAGTTCAGAGGGAACGGAAGAGTGAGCGCTGGAGTCGGTGGGCGTAGTTCTTTGCCGCGGCGTTTACCGTACGGGATGGTCTCGACGGGGTCGTTGGCGTTGCCAGAGGCAGGCGCGTAGCCGGCGGAGTGCTTGTACTGCTGGAAAACGGAGTGAGAGAGACAAGCGGGCAAATCCTTTGGCACTAGATTAATGCAGGAATGAACGCGATGAGCGCTCCGTCTGCCACTAGCATGCAACGAGACTTACTCGTAAACTGCGTGGATAAACTTTGTTTAAACTGGGTGAAGGGGACCAAGGTTTCCCGAGGGGTCTTCTTCAGCAATGAGACTAGTAAAGTGGGGGTAGAGTGGCCGTGAGGCCGGGGCTCATAACCTGTGAAAGTGCGACTGAACTCTTGCTTTATTCTGTGCTACAGGGCCAGTATATATACATGTGAGTCGGGACCTCTGATACTGCTACAAGACCTATGGTACTGTAAGCGTAAGCATGTATACTAAGCATGAGTAATCAGATGTCGTATTACTACAAGATAATAGAGGGATCATGTGATGATATCCCCATTAGTCCGTATAGGGCAATGACGTAATTGCCCAGTTCTGACACACTTTTGTCTGCCAAACTGTACATACAGACTGCGCCAGTTCCAAATTCATTTTTTTTGTCCAATAGCAACCTTCATAGTTCATGCATTCATTTTATTGTTCAGTTTGGTGTAAGTTAGCAATAGGCTTTCATTTTCTTGATTATGCATCCCATTTGAATCGTTGAGTGCACGAAAGTGCGCAAAAGTGCGAGAAGGCACACGAAGATTAACACCTAGCCAAAATGAAACTGTGACAAAATGAATACATAGTTCATCAGATGCACATTTTCGTGCGCAAAAGTGCACGAAAGTGCACAAACGTGAGCTTTTGTGCACGATGGCGCACGTTAGTGACCAAACGCGTATCATCACGCACGAACATGCACAAAAGTGCATGAACACACACGCAAAATCCTAAATGCACATCGAAAACAAAACTTTGCAGCCAGTGCAAAGGTGAGAATTTATTTCTGTCCAATCACACCCTTGGTATTCCTCAGCTCATAATCTGATTCTGTCTTGACCCTCAAATCACCGTCTTCCCACAGACCCTTTCATCCTGAGAACGTGGGCCATTAAAGAGACACTC